CAGAGTCAGCCTATTGCCCCCAATAATCCGGTCCTCATTTTACCAACTTCAGAAGGAGGAAAGGCTGAGTCAAACTTGAACCAGTGTGTTGTGGCCTGTCAGCTGCCAGCCCCTCTAGCAACCAAATCAAAGGAGGAGGGGGTGTGGGAGTCAAGATCAGCATCAAGGCAATCTGAGAGTTCCAAGTGGGAAGAGGGAATAGAGCTGTCAGAGAGAGACAGAGACAGAGACAGAGACAGAGAGACAGAGACAGAGACAGAGACAGAGACAGAGACAGAGACGGAGACGGAGCCTGGGCTGTCTGTCAGCCCTCAGATGGAGAGTCAACAGCTTCCAGGTCTGAAGGTGGCTGATGAGGAAGAGGAGGAACAGCTGGGCCCAGTGCCTGGGGCATGGATGAGCAGAAGGCAGAGGAGAGGAGAGCAGTGGAAATCTATGGGCCGGTCCTTGGGACGGAAGAGCCACCGCTGCTAGCAAAGCCCCACACTAGCTCTGGGGATAAAAGGCAGGGGGCGGAGATGAATAGATGCGGCAGACACTGTTCATGTCCCCTGCTGGACAGACTTGTTAGCCTGAGGTGAAAGAGAAACTTTTTGACACGGCTGCTGGCGCTCCTAATAAAAGAATCATTGCTTCCGTTACGGGGGTTTGTCATGGTTGGGGAGCTGGGTCAGAACATGGTGAGGTTTGAACTGCTGAACTTCCGGCAGCCGGCAGTCAGCAGAAGTAGCCTGCAATACTGCATTCTGACCACTGCACCACCACGGCCCTTGTCGATCACATAACCCCCGGAAAGTGCAACTGTGATAAATCCACTTCAGTTGCCAAGCAGAAGAATGTTCATTGTAAGACTGTAGGGATGCTGCAGTGGCCATACGTGTGAGGACCAGTCATAAGTCCATGTTTTCAGTGCCCTTATAACTTCGAACAGTCACTAAATGAGGACTACCCGTAACTGTGTCCACGTTAGCTTCCCCGTCACTGATTTTCCCCGCATGACAACCGTTCGTCCTATCCACTCCTGAAATTTGCTTTTCATGTGCCGCTCCAGGCCTTCCTCCCCTGGTGAGACCTTCAACATTGGCGTTTTCCCCTTCCCACAGGTCGCGTGAGCAACGTTACCATCAAACATCCACCTGAGGCCATCGAGGGCAGGCTAATCTCCTTGCACTGCACGTCAAGAGGTGACAGTGTTTCATATTCCTGGACCAAAGGGGGCCAGGTGGTCCATGCAGATGGCCGCATCTCTTTGAAGAACAACAACCAGACCCTTGAGTTGAATCCAGGGTACCGAAATGATACTGCAGATTATATTTGCCATGGTAACAACAGCATCTCTTCCAACGAGAGCGAACCCTATCACTTGGACATTATCTGTAAGTCTAATCTTCTTGTCTTGAGTCATGGCATGCAGCCAGCGAGCTGTACATGATTCCTGAGTACTTAACCTTCTTCCTCGGTGGTCTGCCATTTTGTATAATCTCAATCCATTTGATTTGTGTGCGGGTCAGTTTAGGTCCCACAAACTGGGTTAATTCTGGGTTGTTTTTTTCTTCAGTTGGACTCAGTCAGTCTGGTTCAGTGTTTATCAAACTTGGCAAGTACATGGCTGGCTGGGGAATACTGGAAGATGAAAGCAACATGTGTTAAACTTGCCAAGATGGCTGGCTGGGGAATGCTGGGAGATGAAGTCCACATGTGTTAAACTTGCCAAGATGGCTGGCTGGGGAATGCTGGGAGATGAAGTCCACACATCTTCAATTTGCAAATATGGTGGCTAGGGATCTGGGTGGGAGCTGAAATCTTAAACTTGCCAAGTCTAGAAAGATTAGTCCAGTTGCTGACCACGGTAGTCCTTTTAACTGACACATTAAATAGAATAAAAAGAGAAGGTTCTTGCTACTTCAGAACGTTGCAAGGATGTTCTTTTGAAAATTGTTCCTCTGCTTAAAAATAATCCTAAATATGCTTGTCTCCTCCAGATGGACCTGACCCTCTGATTATCAATGAGACTATTGATGTCCCAAAAGCGCAGATCAAATTGACTTGCAAAGCTGTTGTGCATCCTCCTGCTGTTTATACTTGGTTTTATAATGGAACAGAATTGGATAATAGGATTTTGTTTCTGAAAATTAGCCCAGAGAATTCTGGAAATTATACTTGTAGTGTGATTAATCCAATCTCTTTCCTGAAGAGAAATACCACCTTGGAGATCAACATGAAAAGTGAGTAGTCAGAACAAGAAACTCCTGATCATTTGCCAAATACAATACATGCTGGCTGGAGAATTCTGGGAGTTGAAGTCCACAGTCTTAAAATTGCCAAGTTTGGAGAGCCCCCAGGCCAAACAGATTGAGGAGCCTGTGCCTTGGGACTGAAGATGTTTCCCCCTCCCCTCCCCCCAAGGTTGGAAGCACGTGGTCCCTTGGTGATACAAGGAAGGAAGAGGATTGCATTCCTTATAACATTGCTGAGGTCGCTTTCTCTTTTTCTCTTTTTAGGAAAGTTTAAAAGCCTAAAATAGAAATGAAGGATGGAAAGACAAGGGTGTAAGTATCAATTCTTCAGAAAATATTCAGGAATGATTCATTTGCTCTAGTTTCCCTAAGTTTTAGTTTTTCCTATCCATTTGGCTATCATCTATCCATCCATCCATCCAATTATCATCTACCTATCTATATCTTTCTCTTCATCTCTCCATCCATCTCTCCATCTATCTCCATCCAGCCATCTCTCTATCTATCCGTCATCTAACATTCTGTATCTATCTGTCTGACTATCTATCCATCCATCCATCCATCCATCCATCCATCCATCCATCCATCCATCTATCTATCTATCTATCTATCTATCTATCTATCTATCTATCTATCTATCTATCTATCTATCTATCTATCTATCATTCTATCTACCTACCTTTCATATCTATCTATCTATCATCTATCTACAGTATCTATTTATCCATTTGTCCATCTATCAATCAACTTTATATGGCCTCCCATCTCATAACAAGTGATTCTGGACAGCATATAGCAAAAAAATATAAAGTGATAAATCAAATTAAAAAGCTTTGCTTGCCAAAAAGGATTTTGAAGGTCAAAATCTTGAATTGAACCCAGGAGCAAAATGGGTAACTTAATAAAGTAACTAGTTTCATAAAACTCATAAAAACTTTCTTTGTAATGTCTTTCTTATATAAGAAATGATATGTTACTACAAAAGACAGCAACATGCTCCATTATTTCTTATTCAGTTGTAACTACTCCTCTTTTCTCTAATGCTAATCTTACTACAACTCAGGATACATAAAAGCACACCTGTAGTTAAAATCAAACTTTCCAGCGGAGAGTTTTAAAACCAAGATGTGGAATAAAAATTGTGCCTAATAGACTATTTTCCCTTTCAGCTTTCGTTCTCTGATTTCTGATGGAAAATTCCAAGGCAGAAAAATGTAAAAACAGCAGCCCGTTTGAGACTTCAGCTGCTTCAAAATCACTTCGATTTTTTGAAATCTGTACCTCCCTCTTTAAAGCCAAGTCCTTGGAGATCTTATCCATGCAAATATTAATTACCCTAAGTTAAAAACAAATCATGATCACTATGTATTAGGGTGGCAATTTTATTCTCAAAGGCATAGGATTCGGATCTTCTAATTACATTTTAAAAGTGCTTTGAATCATTGGTTATTCATACATGACAGAAGAATGTCCTTGCTTTGTTTACATTCTTATGAAAATGTATTCATTCCAATACTTGCCTATGATTTCTCATGTTCCCCTCTGGAAAGAAAATGTGTGCAGTTAATCACAAATGCACAGAGAAGCACGGAAAATTGTATTCAATAAATCTTTCCCATTGAGCTGTTGCCATTGTGCTGTATATGTTTACATTGTCATTGTTGTCGTGCTGTTGTTGTGGATCTCTTGCTGTTGGGGGGACAGTCACAAACACACTTTCAAATTAGCTAGGGCATATCCTATGAGCAATTACCCCACGGGATCAAAAACATCTTATAAGTTTAGAATAACAGAATTATTAGACGTCTTCTAGTAGTCCAACACCCTGCTTAGGAAGGAAACCCCTATACCATTCCAGACAAATAACTGTCCAATCTCTTCTTTAAAACTTCCAGGGTCAGAGAATTCACAACTTCTGGAGGCAAGTTATTTCACTGGTTAATTGTTCTAACTGTCTTCTTAGTTCTAGGTTGCTTCTCTCCATGATCACGAGTACCATTTTATAAAACTTTTGTAAGACCGCCCTTTGATAGAATACCGCATCCAATTTGGGTCACTACATTACAAAAAAAAGATGTTAAGATTTTGGAAAAAGTGAGATGATTAAAGGAA